GTAGGTTGGCGGGGTAGGTTGGGAAATACGCTTATAACTTGTACAACGGAAAACGGCGACTAAAATGTACAAATAAGGCATTATTTTTCGAGGAACTGGAAATAATATGAGTTCCAAAATTGTTTATTATACAACTTATGTTTAATTCTACATGCAGTTTAATCATTTTAAGCTAGATTGTTTTTATTCATGAAGCATTTCCAAGAATGGGAATGAATTTACAGTGACATGTGATGAAAGAGTAGAAAAGGTTTTGAACTATTTGTGAAAATGAATGTCTGGAAAACAAACTACTGGTGTAAATAAAACAGCATTTACTGATATGTAAGGAAGTCTCAGTGAAATGGGTAGATATAAAAAAATGAAGATTCAGCTTTTGGTTAAAAGTATTTCTAGAAAATAATTTATTGATGATTAATATCAATAGATGAGATAATTAAGAAAGGAAACGCACGATTCTGCCTGACCAAAGTGAATACGCATTTGTCGCATGCAGAGAAAGGCCTGTATAACTTCAGACTTTTTCTAAACTTAACTAATAGAGGTTTCCGCGATATTCTATACGTTTTTCTAAAGAGGCAAATAAATTAAAATGATTTTGTTTTCCATCTGTTTTCAGGCTACATGTTGAACTGTTGAAGTGATTATCGTACTGTTTTTGTATTATGACAGTTCTGGTAGTATTCATTAATTTTGGGAGGATGAAATATACTTCATGAAAATAAATCAAACTAACACAAACGTAGGTCAGCTGTTTGAATGTATTTAGCCCAAAATTTTGATTTTAAAAAATTGCAGTTTCCTAATTTGTTGTATCGGCTACAGGTGCTTAAGAAATATTTTGTCAAAATTCAAATTCTAAATGTTGGTAAGAAAGCAAGAAAAGATACAAAATTACAAGTAGATCATACATATTTTGAACATCTTGTTAACAGAAAGGAACGCAGAGGCAACACGTTCAGATGAGAATACAAATACTTTCTCTTACCCGCAACACAGTCCCCGTGGTCTCCACAGTCATCAACACAGAGATTTTGTATAAGGCTTTGGGCTGGGCTGGGAGTTGTTGTTGTGGAGTTGTTCTCTTCTTCTTCCTCCTCCTGCTCTAGCTGGACATTCTCCATACACTCCTCCAGCATGTGGTCCAGGTGGGAGCGGGCCCAGGTGGGGTCTCCGAGGGCCTGTGGAGAGAATTCGGGTCGATGAGCTGATGGTATACCGGTAGGACTAAACAGATTTTCACGAACAAAACGAAATACAGAAAAAAACTAACAAAACACACCATAACATCTTGCTGTTGTATTTTTTTTCAAGTATTTATTCGATATCCCCGTCCCAGTTGGCAAGCACGGTTTCAGATCATGCGAGCAAGTGATTGTATTCGTAGCACAAACACAGTTGAGACAGCAGGACTTTAACAGACTTCTGAAGAACAAACAAGGACATCAACGCAAAACAAGGACTGCGTCTTTAGATAAAATCAATGATTTGAAAATAGGGGATAATAACGTTCGGGTAGCCATTTTCAAATTCGAGTTCGTCTGACATTGTATCGAATGCCACCGTTCCTGCCTCTTTGGCGGATGCTTGCTAAAACTCACCCCATCAACACACAATGCAAGGATTACGCATTTACAGCGCTGAACTGGAATATAGAGACCGGCATGTCATTGTTTATTACATTCTATAGCCATTTCTTCTTTATTATCTTGTGAGTTGAGAAATCCGTGCTGTAAGCCAGTCCATGCGCTGGGCAGAAGCACTAGATGTGGAAATCTCGCACAAGAAGTCAGTTGGTGTCTTAGTGTTCAACAAATTGGATTTGGAGTCCACAGTCTTTCTCTCTGTCTCTGATACCCTAAATAGAAGCGCAGGAAATCTGCCTTGCTTTATTTTAATCCCGATAATGGAAGTCGGTGTTCTACTTTTTCCGCCCGCTTTGGTTTTTTTAAATTTAATTTATTTATTTTTTTAAAATTCGGAGTGTCTGATCATGAATGGTTTGGCCTAAACGATTAGGGCTAAGAATGACCCGTTAGGAGGCGTGGACGTCTGACAAAGAAGGCATTTCATATAATTATTTGTTTTCTTTTGATTGCTCCTTTTAACACTGGAATAAACATTGGAGAAAACTGGTACTTCCATCTGGGTTGACTGCATTATCTCGTAGTATACTACTACTACTACTACTACTACTACTACTACTACTACTACTACTACTACTA